AGAGAGAGAGAGAGAGAGAGAGAGAGAGAGAGAGAGAGAGAGTTTTATACTGAATAATAGAAATAATTTGATATTATAGATGAAACTACTTCTACAGCAAAACTCAACTGTCACTCCCTTACTTTAGTTTTTTAATAATTTTATATCCTACAGATATCATATGACGTCATAGCCGGCACATCGCCTTTTAACAATTGGATTCACGAACGCATCTTTAAACGGAACTTTATTATATCATCATGATTGTCTGTTTAAAAAGATTAAAAAATATATACCCTTTAAGAAATATATTCAAGAAAAAATAACTTATTACCATCACTTGTATACAACACAAGTACAAAAAATCGACAAGATTACGCAAGTGACGAGGATTCCGATGTAAACAAACTACGAGAACCTCACAGAACCTTCGCAAGAATGGACACGCAAGGAAGTGACCCAACATCTCTCTTTTCTGCCCAGCCTGGCAAACCTTGTCGGGCGTGCACGGATTTCAGGTCATGGATGAAGCAACAAGGAAGCCTCCAGGGGGCTTCTAAGTCTGGTAAGGTATGATGACACGAAGCAAGATCTTTGAAAGAAGGACTCCAGAGTGATGATGCAATACCCAAGTGGGCTGGTGGTAGCATGGGGTTGTTTTTTTTGCTGGGGGCCCTGGTCAAGATGTGGGTTTAGACTGGTGGGAAGATTTGTGTTTGTACCCTTGTTTAGCTTGTTATTTTATTATGTGATCGGTAATTTATTTAGCGTGTGTTTAGTACTAGTTATGCCACTATGTACTGACCAGTTTGTTAGCTTTGAGTTTGTACCTGAGATCTCATGTGCACAATCTTCTTACCCATATGGGTTAATCTTTATGATAAGGATGCACTAAGTTCAGGAAAATTGAATATGTTTTTCTTGTAGAGGGCAGAAAGTTGAAGGCATCGGTACACTAAATGCTCTGTAGACACGAACAATACTGCCACAAGTAAAGGATAAAGATTGCAAAATGGGGCCCTCTCAGCTTAAGTGCACTCAGTGCTCCTGAGTCTCAGCTCTGTCTTGCTTTGCATACGAGGTGAAGACAATGTTACCTGGGAGGTGTTGGGAGACAGAGACTCCCACCAACCCTCCGTATGGGCAATTGGTCACGCTGTCACGGCAACTTAGATTGATGAATAAATTTTGTGATGTGGATTTGGGGCCAGTCCATGGCGAATGCACCCATACTGTAAAGAATTGCCCCCATGTGTGAATTCTTGATTTCATTTGTACATTTTGGTTAATCTTATGGTATGGTTGCACTAAGATAGGGCAAATCTAAGATGATATTCTTGAAGAGGATAAAAAGTTTCAGTTATCAAGACAAGAAATAATATGCAGACGCAAACGTTGATGCCACAAATGAAGGAAAAAGATTGTAGAAAGTTACCAGTACTGCTTGCTACCAAAGCCCGCTCTGTGCTCCCAAGTTTCAGCTCAATCTTTCTGTGCATACTGAGGTAAAGACAATGTTACCCGGGGACTGCTCGGAGCTAGAGCACTGTCAGCAGTGCTTGAAGGCCACGCCTAGTCGGTAACTTAGTGTTGAATTTATTTTGTAACCTGTGTCTGAAATGTAAAGAATTAGCAATGTAATTTTGTTGGTACTTGCATATGCACATTTCAAGGCCCATGTGCCTCCTAAATTTCTGAAATTCATTGAATTGCATTTATTCAAAAGATAGGGCCATGGGAAGTTTTCCTTTTTTGTGCATTTTTCCAGTGAATTTGTAATTTCCAATGTATAGTTATTCGTGGGGGCCCAGCATAGGCATTACATGTCATGATAGCCAATATTCTTAGTATTAGGGATAAAATGCAATTGATAAGGATTATGTTATGCCTCTGCGCCTTGTTAGTAGTGCTATCTATCTTTATGAAAATATATGTCAACAGGTATGCTGTTGTTAATGATTCCATGATATATATATATATACATGAACCGTATTCATGTTGACAAATGTGGAAAGGTATGAATGAGAATGAATATCACAATACAAGAGATGTATTTAATCGGTTTTGATTGTATCTTCGTCAGAAATACATACATTTGGGAGAATACACAGCACATGCTGTGTATTCTCCCAAATGTATGTATTTCTGACACAGATATAATTGAAACCGGTTAACTACATCTATTGTATTGTAATGATATTCGTTTTCATTCATAACTTTCCACATATATATACATCTTGTGATAATTTTTATGATAAATTTTTGTATATATAGATTATTGTGTGTAGCAGATAATGAATATTCACCATTTCTCACTTGTATACACAATGATACAGAATAAGTACTCATGGAATCTATAACTAGAAGACTTCTTAAACATTTTTCTTCAGTGAAAATTTCCTTGAAAGCAATTAAAAGCATGGCATACCTTTCATCACAAGAACACCACCGAGTGTATGTTCTGTAGGTTTCCCTGATGATGGAGTATCACATAAGGTGCCAGTTCAAGCTCTGACCTATGAGAATGTTTGTGATGATTTGTTGGCCTTTGCTGAAGCACCAAAAGTGCATAGACCTTGGTGTTACTAATGATAGATTTGTTTATTTATTTATTTTGTTACTTTTATTTTCAAATTGAGACAAATATGTAACTGAAGCAAAACATTTAGATATTAATTTATGAAACAATTCCATTTACTAATACCTCATACTATATCCCAGGCATGCTAGGAAATGCTGGATGATTTTCTCTTGCATCATACCTCTAACATCAAGATGATATCTTTGTGAAATGCGCATTGTACACTTGCTTGGCCTTATCTGCATTTGTTAAGGAGAAATAGCCCCTCAAAAGTAGGCCTTAAGCTTCTTTCTAACCTCATTACCTTAAAAATGATTTATGCTGAAGGAAAGTACATAGATATATATTGTTTGGTATTGCATTGGGGGCTTTGTCATGATTTGGATGTGCCAGTCAGAAACTTAGATTAGCTAGAAAGGCACATTTTCTTGTTTGTGATACAGTTACTAAGATTCCTAACACCACAATTAATATTGAGTCACACAAAAAGTTTGATTAGTTTTAACATGATTGCGAACTATCCAGTCAGGCTGTCTCTTGATGTCATGCTATCATAGACACACAAAACCCTTCTAGTTTTCATGATCCATAGTTAGTTTCAACTAGGCATAATATCACATCGTGAACAATAACATAGACACTTTTAACCTAGACATAGATACTTAAGAACACACACTAACTCATGAAAGGGTAGTTAGCTTCGTACTTGCTCATTTTTCCTCGTTAATTTTAATACCCCTACACAGGTACCAGTACTGTTGTCTAGAGAGTATTGTTTTATAAGCCAGATGAAATGGATTGTTTGTATTGCTGTTATTTATTTATATTTTAATGTATTTGTTTTCTTAAAGGTGGTGCATATTTTTCTGACCATATATGTGTGCATCGTTTGTTTCTTCTTTTCTTTTGTATTTTAATTGTATCCAGTTTCAAGCAAAATTTTTATATTTGTCCTTGAATTTTTTCAGGAAGGAGAAGAGAAAAACAGTTCATCACAGAACAATCAAAAGGATAACACAAACGCATCTAGTTCAGCGTCAGGATCTACTTTGAACGGAAATGTAAAATCGGCGACAGTTGACCCAGATGACACGGATGTTCCTCTAACAGGTATGCAGTAATGCTTCTGTATAAAGTGTGAAAGTATGATTATCAGGTTTTGTCAGATTTCTGTATAGATATTGTACTAAACTTGGTTTTTATCTATGATTTTGGTTTTCCATGCTTATTTTTATTATTTATTTATTATTATTATTATTATTATTATTATTATTATTATTATTATTATTATTATTATTATTATTATTATTATTATTATTATTATTATTATTATTTTTTATTATTATTATTATTTTTTTTTTATTATATTTTTATTATTTTTATTATTATTATTATATTTTATTTTATTATTTTTATTATTATTATATTTTTATTATTTTTATTATTTTTATTATTTTTATTATTTTTATTTATTATTTATTATTATTATTATTATTATTATTATTATTATTATTATTATTATTATTATTATTATTTTATTATTATTATTATTATTATTATATTATTATTATTATTATTTTATTATTATTATTATTATTAATATTATTAAAATAATATTAATAATAATAATATAATAATAATAAATATATATTATTATTATATATTATTATTATTATTATTATTATTATTTTTATTATTTTATTATTTTTATTATTATTATTATTATTATTATTATTATTATTGTTATTGTTATTGTTATTGTTATTGTTATTGTTATTATTATTATTATATTATTATTACTATTATTATTATTGTTATTATTATTGTTATTATTATTATTATTATTATTTTTATTATTTTTATTATTTTTATTATTATTATTTTTTTATTATTGATATTATTCATTTCATTCATTCATTCATTCATATTCATTCATTCATTCATTCATTCATTCATTTCATTATCATTCTCATTCATTCATTCATTCATTCATTCATTCATTCTCATATATAATTTATTTTTTATTATTATTATTTTCAAATAAATAAAAGGTAGATATGATGAATTCAGCAATATTTTGTAATGGGTGTCTTTTATATTCATGGTAGTAGCGCTGTATTTATCTTCATTCATTCATTCATTTCATTTCATTTCATTTCATTCATTCATTCATTCATCATTCATTCATTCATTCATTCATTCATTCATTCATTCATTCATTCATTTATATAATTATTTTATTATTATTATTTTCAAATAAATAAAAGGTAGATATGATGAATTCAGCAATATTTTGTAATTCAGTCTTTTATATTCATGGTAGTAGCGCTGTATTTATCTTTGATGAAATTGAATAGACTTACCAGAAAATTTTGACCAATTATCAAAACTTTAATTGAGCAGGGTTCTTCTAGAAGATTTTTACCTTTAGGAGTAAAGCTAGTTGAAGCTTGGAAGCAAATTACTAGTATCACAACTTTCTTTTCTATTATTCATGAAAGAATATGCCTTGTAAGTCTAGCCATGAGGATTAATCTGAAACTGTAAGGCATTCCAATTGCTGCCGTTAAGTAAGCAGACTGTTGTGCGTCAGACTTGGTTAATCTCTAACACATGAGAGTTGATTATAGTATATGCTTATTTTGCTTTTGGGTCAAGTGGAATTACTTTTTACTTGAATCTGTTTCCTGAAGAATGTTTATTTTTGCAAATATATAAGATTATAAATGAGATGGAATATGTTCACAGTGGTTGATGCTTTCTGATGCTGTGCTGTCATCAGAATTACATTTAATTCAGGTCAAGATAAAACACGGAAACACAATTAGTTCTTGCTTTGGAAAGTTACTGATTCTCATTTGAACTTAATTTTAGAAATATATTTCTTTGTTGAGAATGGAAACAATTCAGAATAATATCAATTTGGGCATTGTAGCTCAGGCTCTATTTCTTCTATATTAGCAAAGGAGATTAAGGGTGTCAGTACCAGTGCTAGAGAAAGAAATGGGATGTAGTGCTAATTTACCTTGGTTCATTGTTTGCACTTGAGCACAACATGTATTTTAATGTATTTTATTGCAGGATTATACTTCAACAATTTTTTATTATTAACTTTTGTAGATCTTTAGAATGTAATATTTTGTCCTGACAGGAAATGCTGCCAAATACGGGTGTCCTGCAGATAGTTTGTCCCTTGGGCGAGGGTCATGGAGACTTTTACATAGCATGGCAGCATACTATCCAGAGAAGCCATCAGCTGACCAACAGAAGGACATGTCCACTTTTATCACAATATTCTCAAAATTCTATCCTTGCCAGCCATGTGCAGAGGATTTCAGAGACTGGTAAGGATATTTCTCATTGGGGTGATTTTACACAGAATTTCAAGATATGGAGGTATACATGTTTATAATGTGATTTTCTGTTTCACATACAACCTGTTTCTTTTATGAGCAACAACAATGCTAGATAAGTGAAGGAATTCATTTTTTATCTGAAAAAGCTAAGTCTGATTTATTATTTTAAAGTGTAGCTGTAAATTTAGAATAGTGCTGTCCACAAGTTTATGTTTGAGGTCTTACATGAAGAGTTTTCAACTTTTATGATAAGACTTGGAGATAGTAATGATGAATAAGAACTAGCAACTAATGTCCTCACATGAAAAAGTGTATAGCCTTTGACAAATTAAAGTTAAAGAAGACAGGAAATGAATATCATTATTCTCAAGTTGATATATTTTCTCTGTTTATTGCTGTTATTATGTTATTCCTTTTTGGTTCCATGTCCTGTATATTATCATATATCTTAGTGGTATAGCAAGGATTGCGTTTGACCAGGGCATGACAGATATTTCTGCCTCAGACCTTTTCACCAGTCTAGTATTGAATCCTTTAGCCCTACTTTAAGGAAATACTTGTATCAGAGGAATAATGCGCTTGAATTAAAGATTTGGAATTGCCTGGATATGATTTTTAAACATTTTCAGTAACGGTAATAAACTTTACATTGTAATCTCTCTCAATTGGTAGTATTACTAGGCAGCATTATTTACAGTGCTGTGTTACAAAACTGTTGCTAATGGTCAAACTTTGAAAGCTTTCTTGCATGAGGACCTTAGGTCCTGATTTTTATTTATCATAATTTTCCTTTTTTTTTAATGTTTGTTGTGGGACAATCACCACTGTGATTCTGCCCATTCTACATCACTACTTCATTCCATTTTTCCCCTTTCCACAGGTTGAAGAAGAACACTCCAGATGTTTCTTCACAGAAAGGACTCTCTCGCTGGTTTTGTGAAGCCCACAATGAAGTCAACAGGAAACTGGAGAAACCATTATTTGACTGCAGTTTAGTAAATGAGAGATGGCGTGATGGTTGGAAAGATGGATCTTGTGATTAAATTATTTTATATGTATTTATTTATTTTATTGCAAGAAATGTATAACCACACTCTTAAATTTAAAAAGATTAGAGTGACTTTAAAGTGCAATATATTTGTGTATCGGCTGATGCGCTTTGAATATTTACAAATAGAAAATGATGATTGCTATAGCAGTTATGATTCATTCCAGATACCTTGATAATTCAAGTGATAGCTCTGAGTTGCAAGTTGCATTATCACATTACTTAGATTTCAGATAGAACCCTGTTAGCAATGTTTATATTAGCTATGGATTTTTTTCTTTTGTTTCATCAAGGCTGGTGAAATGTTTCACATGCCATCACTCAAATAAAAGAGCTATTTTGACCAAGTTAACCCATGATGCAGAATGCAGTATACATGCACTGTTAATTCTGGTTTTGTTTATGAATTTTGTCTACACATAGATGGCATCAGAAGCACATAGTCATTAAAAAGTGAGTTAACAGGCCAACTCAACCTCGCCAGTTACCCCATTCCTAGATTTTACAGGAAGGAAATGTTTAAATTTTATTAGTCAATATTGTTAATAATGAAGTCATGATAATGATTGTAATAATGAGAGCAATAAATCCCCCAAATTCAAGGATTAGGATAATCAGGTCAGACCAAATAGGCCTAACAGCTGACTCCTTAATAAATAAGTGCTTGTAAAGTAATCTGTGTGTAAACAAAACTAATATAACAAAATTACAGTAGACAGGGCATGTACTAGTTGCCAGTGGTTTATGCTTTAGTTGAAGGGAGCAAATGTATACACACTAGTTTTATTATTTCCCTTTTTATGTTTCGGTTATCAGAATAACAAGGCTGATTAGATACTGGTAAGAAAACTCAGGCAGAACTTCTCCGTGATCTTTTTGCATGTTTCTTTTTCATTTTTAGATATTTACTCGCATCTGTAAAGTTTTGGGTGTGTGATTAATGTAGGGTTTATCGATGATGAAGAAGCACAAGACTGAGTATTGTATAAATATGTGATAACCTTGTAAAAAATGTACAGCTATGAAAGTTACTTTTAATTTTTGATGTGATTGTCTGCTCTGTAGAGTACTTATATAAGACAGTGGGTTTTTAAATGTGCTCAGTTTTAAGGAATTTATATGTGTATTCTAACATTGAGAAATTTCAGTATAAAGAAATATTGATGGAGTTATCAGTTGAAGACCTGTGTTCCAAATAGAATATGGTGTAATATAGGGATACCGCTACAAAACACAGTGGTGCTATCTTTAACAGTTTGTGATCATTGTGTAAGTATTGTATAAAGATGTATATATTGTTGAATTAATGTTTTAAATTACACAGTCTTGCAAAAACAATCTATAATTATCCTTTTTTCACAGGGTGTTGGAATTATTATTAGGAAGTGGCCTTGCAATAAAAAAGGGTCTGAGGGTATCTTTTTGTGATTTCACAAGAATTTATTTGCATTAAAAGACTGGTTTTGTAGTTTTTAGCTCGGTCATATTAAAAACAAAGAGGGGGTACTGGTAACACGTATTCCATGTGTTTTTGTAAGGCAAGTATATGAATAGCATAAATCCATGGTATGTCTTGTAGGAGCATGCCTTAATTTTGCACTCATTATGGCACATTAAAAAGTAAGATTTGAATATGAAGTGAAAAAGTCATAATAATGAGAAATGCATCATCATAACTATTGGCTGATAAAGAAGGGGACAGACACTGCAAGAAATATTTTTTTCTAAATACATCAAAACTCCCAGTTTATATAAAATACCTTGAAAACCAACATAATGCAACTGATTATGAAGATGGTATTTCAAGAGTCATGATAAGTTATTTGTTATTTTCAGGAAGACAGCCAAGAGACAAAGGATAAATAAAAATACTTTTAGAAATAACAGATTAGTTTGTTTAAAGCCAGAAGTCCTTATGAAACCATAGTTGTGATTGCTTACAGGTACCAAAACTGGCTTTTTTCTAGCCACTAAGAAGAGGTTCGTTACGACAGGTGACAATAAATTCACCTGATTTATTGCTCCAGAAATGTTTGGTTTATTTATTCAGTATGGATAATTGTTTTTGTTACTTTAGTAACATTTTATCTCATTGTGTCAGAGGAAGACTTTTAAATGGAAACGATATGTTGCAAAGTGTCATCAGTGACTCATAGTACAGATATTCAACTATCATTTTCTTCTTCTTCTCCTCATCCACCTTCTCCCTCTCCCTCTCCCTCTCCTCCCTCACTCTCACTCTTAGGCCCATTCCCAGTTCCAGTTGCAGTCATAAAGAACAGGTGATGAGTTTTCATCAGGAGAAGAAGAAACAGTTATTAATTGTTTAATATTTCTTGGCTAATGGTCCAAGGTAATTTTTTGTGGTTCTTGATTGGTATGTATATTCTTAAATTTACTGAAAATTCAGTAGAAAGAAACATACTAATTCAAAATGATAGTTACCTACTATTTTCCAAATATGTCTGTAAAAATATATATTTCAAATTACACTGTTTTAGGACTTTCTCTCCCTTTCTCCCTTTCTCCCTTTCTCTCTCTCTCTCTCTCTCTCTCCCTGTCTCCCTCTCTCCCTCTCTCCTGCTCTCCCTCCCTCTCTTCCTCCCGCTTTCTCTCTCTCTTGCTCTCTCGATATTGCTCTCTACTCCTCCTCCTCCAGCTCCTTCTTCATCGCCATCTCCATCTCAGTATCCATCTCTTCTCCATTACCATCTCTATCTCCTCCCTCTCCTCCAGCTTCGCCTCCTTCTTCATATCCTACTCCTCCTCCATTACCATCTCTATCTCCATCTCCTTCTCTCTCTCTCTCTCTCTCTGTCTCT